TCCCAATATCTTGGACTGTTCCTTTAAATCTTATATACAGTTCTTACAGCTGCATGCTTCAGCTCCATTAGCAGCTACGTGTTTGACAGATGAATATCGAGTAAAAGGCCGGCTTGTGCTTTAACGTGAGAGCTGTTTCCACTGCAGTTCGCCAGCTCACCAGACCGCCAGGTTGACAGGAGAGCGGCGGCGTGTCTACGTGGAGGATGGCAGCCGTTAGCCTCTAGGCTACGTAGGCGTTCTTCTAATGGCGGCAGGAAGCAGAGCCGACAGAGAAAAAACATCCAGATGTCACAACCACCACGAAAAGAATCGTAACAGAAACGTCATAAAGGAATACTTCACTGTATTCAGTAACGGTTACGTTTATGATTGTGACAACCACAGGATGCAGTCGCAGATATTCAAAAGTTACACCAGCTTCCTTCTTCCACCAGGGGGCGCCAACCAAATCCCTTAAAGTCCACATGAAACAGGGATCAGAGGTTTCTTTAAAAGGTTTCTTTTGTTGAATACGGTTAATATGGCTGTGGACTTTATATTGAAAGGTTTAAAAGACATTTTGATATGTTAGCATGCTAAGATTCAATGGGAGCTGATTTCTTTCTCATGTTGTCGGCTTTGCTGTTTTTTGGTTTATGTTTGAGCTAATTGATCAATCATTAAACCCCATGACTGTCCAATCATATCTGAGCAAGTCTTCACGTTTGTACACACACTGAAGTGGCGTTCAAACACTCGGTGTATAACTTTAGTCTTTCCACAACCAAATCACAAGAGTAACAGTTAAGAAATGGATTATCTGCTCCGACTAAACAACAAAACAAACTTACCATCTTTACATTTACTGTAACATTAGCATGTCCAGCTAACTAGCTTTAAATCTACAGTAGTAACTTGACGATTCCTCCAAGGCTAAACATTAGCATGTCATCGTTTACCAGTTGTAGCTCACAGGTTAAAATAGAGACTTTAAAGTACATCACATTAGTATTTTTAAAGTACAACAAAGAGATTCCAGCTGTTAGGGTTAGTTTACTACTCGACTGCTATCTAGCTAATATGGCAGACAGTTAGGGGCTGGAAAGAGAACCGTAGATATAATATAGAACAGGCAAACTCCACTTCCCTGTCAACAACCCTTAAAGCTGCTGTGTCGCTCTATTTGAAAAGTGTCCTGAGGTAACTTCTGTTATGATTTGATGGTGCTAAACAAGAATAAATTCTACTTTAATTTAACTAAAAAACACCTCAAACAGATATAAAATAAATATGATTGTCTTTATTTTCCCACACGAGGAAGGGATGGGTTGAGAAGATTACCTTTCCGGGAGGCCAAATTGTTAGCATTCATTAGCTAAGGGGGCCCATTAGGCTTTGTGGGTGTTGCAGGTTTGATGGCAGTTTTAGAAAGATTTCAGATTCAGAATTCCGCCGGGGGATTCGAATCGGCGTTAGAACAAAATAAGATGAAAAATAAACTGACATTTCTTAGCGGAGTTAATGACCTTAACCGCACTAACCACCATCCTGTCCCCAAATTGAACGGGAGTGCAGTCAAAGGCGAGCAGACATTAATCGGCAGAACTTCCATTGTTTTAGAATATCCATTTGGAAAGGACCAACGTGCCTAATTCAGTTTTAGAGAGGTGATCTATTGTTTCAGTAGAATGGGAAGATGGTAATATTGTAGTATGTCTCTCGGTATGGAATCCATGTGTAGTGTTAATAGATGCACCGGTGACTAAGACAATCAATATGAAAATGTTTTTAGGCTCTCACCGCCTAGGAATGACCGCCCCTGGTTTATATTCTACAGATGGTCACAGATCACCCGTTTCATGGAGGCATGCATGTGACTATGCTCGGTCCATGTTGTCTGGACCTTGTTAGCTAAGTGTCATCTGTACATGCACTGAATATAGCCTATATTGCCCTGTGGCGCAGCTCTCTGGTGCACTCTCAGACTCTTCGCATAGTGTACTGAATCTCGCCCTGAACGTTGGTTCTACTAGAGAGATATGTCGCGACGCGGATCAGTTTCTTGTTTATTTATCTCGTGTATTTTGTCGGAGTCGGTGCGCTCGTGTTGGAGATATATTCTCTTTATGGAATACTGGGAATGTGCGCGCCGATATGTCTGTATAATATGTGTCATTCGTATACTCGTTTGGTGAGTGGACTTTGCCCAGGTGTTTGTCTGTCACTTCGCGGACGCTCATCGCCGCTTATACTACTGACCTCATAAATGTTGCTGACAATCATGTAAGTCCGCGGATTGACTCACCACACATGCTCGGAGGCGCCATGTAAGGTAGGAGATGGCAGATAGTGCACTCGCAAGATATAGCGCGCGCTTGGTAAAAGAGGCCTGACAAGCGCGAGTTTCCGACAGATCATACTGTTTCTCACAACTAGTGATAACAGGTACTAGCTTTCCAGTATTTGGAGTCGCGATATAATTTGGCTCAGCGCCAGTCTGCTCTTGTGGAGGCTGTTAAGCAAGAGGAAGCATGATAGTAGATTCTGTTTGGTGTGTGCTCCAAAATTTGCCATTTTGTGTATTTGTTATATTGTGTGTGTGCCGCTCCGCCCTGTAATCTGTCAAGTACTTTGGTCAATCTTCGTAATTCGAGTTGGAGTAATTCCTTATGGTTATTAGGTGTTGTTTGTCATCAGTGTTTCGTATAATGGGTGGGCCGCAAGATGGTGTGAATGTTTTCTGTATTTCGGGGCCAAAAATACAAAACCAGAAATATCCGCAGTTCGGGGCCAGGGCAGGAGCTGGTATTAAATAAGAGATTCTCTCAGTCGAGTCTCCATTGTTGGTGTGTGTACTGGGCTCGCCGTGTTCAGGATTCAGATACTCGTGGAAGAGTGTGGCAGGCGCTGTCTCCGTCGCGCGTGCGCTCCTCTGGCTGTTTTCACTGTGGCGTTCAGCCGAGTCGCCGCGGCCGCATTCAGTGCGATGCCAGTATATCATGTTATGCTGCTCCAAGTCCTCCGCGCAAATTCGCCTGTTGGGCTCGTGCGGTTTCTGTTAATCCGCCGAGCGGTTTGCCGTCGGATGCTCAGGGCTCATGGTCCTCGCTCTCCTCCTCCTCTTTCTGTCTCAGGGCCAGCAGCTCCCTGGAACAGTTTCCTTCACGTTGGATCGTCAGGTTGGCCGATGTCCTCGTCAAGTAAGCACTTACGCTGTTCCTAGGTGCAGAGTCGCCGAGCCTCGGCCTCCTTCGTGTTTCCATGCGCGCTGTTGGCGCGGTGGCTCATCGGCTTTTGCCCCACAAGCATGGCACTGAAATGGCCCTCACGGCTGCCTGTTGTTATGCACAGAACACCTGGATGAGTGACACGGCTGTTGCTAAGTCTCCAGTCAGGACCTTATCGTCGTATGGTCATCTGCAGGTGTAGAAAATTTATTGTCTCGAAGTTCTAGAGGATGTCATTCTCTTGGTCGCCAATATTAGCAGCTTGTTCAAACGTATGCGTATTACGTTTTATAAGGAGCGACCCGCCTATTTGTTGGACAGGGGAGCTAGTACCAACCTCCTGACCTGTGTATGACAATGGGTGAAAGGATAAAAGAAGGTGATATTGAAGTGGTGATGAATGTGATGCCGTAGACAAAAAATGAAAACTCAAGCTTTATTTCATATAATTTTCGTAAACTGTTATTTTTATTCTAAAACCACCGTGCAGGGGATGGTTTTAGCGCCTTTTTATTGGTTTTATGTGGTGATGACTTTCACCAAGGCAAATTCGAGTCGTTTTTAAAATTCTCAGACGTGGGCGATGTATTTTGGCTCAATCTTGCGAATTGGAACTTCATGACAATCATGCTAGTAGAACATGTGCTTATCTAACAAGATTATTCAGGGTTGTGTTTAGACATTAGCTTTTGGTCCTGGTTGAATATCTGGAATTGGAGAGATATGATGGTGGTTTGATTGGGTCCGCCGATGTTCCCAATATACGCTGAAGCAGTTGACCCATGTGGGTTTATGAGAACAGTGATGGCGAAATCTGACGAAATTGCTCATCGAACAATAAATTGTAGCTTGGAGTTAGAGTTTAGGTTACTCGGATCTCTCTGCTATCAGCGTAATGCATGGATTATGGTTGTACTTATTCATCGTCACAGTTCCTAAGTATGAAGAAATTCATACTATTAAGTTGATTTACATTGATATTATGTCTAAATATAACCACATGGAAAAGAGGCATGTGACCTGTTGGTATAATGGGTTGAGCGCTCTTCCAGCCGGATCTGGCGGCTTCGGTGGTGGGATGGGAGTGTACACTTAGGGATTGATAGGGCGCTGGCCTGTTGATGGATGCGGAAAAAGCGTCTGTACGCATGGTGGTGAAAACTGGGTGATTCCCTGTTGTGTCTGTGATCTGGCAGCGTGCATGTACGCTCTATCTAACGGTGTGAGATCACCTTGTTGCCAAGCAGACGACTTCAGGCAGCGATCAAGATAATTCGTAACATATTAGCGATCAGAGTTTAAATGACGACACAGTGTGCGGGTGCGGTACGATTGTCACCGCTCTTACTGGTCGAGGAATGTGGCGATTGTATAAGAGGTGTCTCTAAGGTTGCCGCGCTGTTCACGAAAGCCCGACAGCACCAGCGAGCTCTTCCCCCACCCCGGCCCAAGGGCGCCTTGCCGAACAAACTACCATCCGGTAGTCTGTTTTTACTCTGCAGTCGGGCGATTTCTGGGAGTTGGAGGTCTGCCCTGCCCTGCTCTGGATGGCTGAACCTGTACGCTGATGGAAGAAGACGACAAGATGTCCGAAGAGGGGGGGGGTGTGGAAATGGAAACCGACGAGGAAAAGAGAAAATCTCATTATCCCAAATCTCCTTACAGAATATCAACTATTACTTCTTATGTGAA